GCTGACTTGGTGGGTTGCTGAGTGGGCAGAGACCAGCGGTACTCTGTCCTGGTGCCAGCAGTACCACGGGAGTAGTCTGGTTGGAGCCTGGTTGCTGGAGGGGGAGACCGACTGTCTCTCCTTTAGATACACAGCTCCACTGCTGGAGGGGGAGACCGGCTGTCTCCCCTTTGGCTAAACAGCCCTGTCGCTGGGGGGCAGTACCGACCGTCCCTACCCCCTGTGCTGTAAGTGCAGAGACCACGGTCCCATCTGCACGGTTGTGGGGCTTACTGTCTCCCCCTGGTGCATTAAGCTGCCGCTGGGGAGAGGGGGTAACAAGCTCCTCTCCCATATATACTTCCAGCCGCGGGGGAGGGAGACCGACTGTCTCCGCTCCCAATACAGAGTCCTGCTGCTGGGGAAAGGAGACTGGGCTCTCTATTCCCTATAGGACACTCTGCCGCTGGGGGACAAGACCAACTGTCCCTGCCCCCTTTAACTCACTTTGCCGCTGGGGAATGGAGACTGGGTGCCCAATTCCCTGCATATCACACTGCCGCTAGGGAATGGAGACTGGGCTCCCAATTCCCTGCAGATCACACTGCCGCTGGGGAATGGAGACTGGGCTCCCAATTCCCTGCATATCACACTGCCGCTGGGGAATGGAGACTGGGCTCCCTATTCCCTGCAGTACCTGCTGCTGGAGTTCCTCCCAACGTGCCAGCTGACCTTCTCTTTCTGCCCAGTATTGCAGATTCTTGAACATTAGGTTCCTCATGGACTGTACGTATTTCTCAGCTGGATTGGGTCCGAAGAACTTCAGCCGCAATCCCATCATATTATCGAACTCTCTCCTAGAGAGCTGTACTCCAATGCTGGTTCCATCCTGGTGCTGTAAGGGTCGCTGTACTCAGACATGCGTTGCCCTAAATTTGTAAAATCCAAAGAAATGGTGTCTCCTGTAGCTGTCCTTCTGGCTGTAGGAACGATCCCACTGCTGCCACCAATTGTAACGGCACCCCCAGGCATAAAAAGGGGTTAAACTGCCGTTTAGGAGATCTTCCCTTCCAGAGACACAGGCACAGCTACTGCAGAACACCAAACTCCCAAACTGCATACAAGGTAGCACTCCAAACTCCCGAACTGGAACCTCACGAATAGCTGCTAGCAGACAAACAGGAAAAGCACCCAAGCGGCTTACACTCCTGGCAATCAGTCTCTAACAGCATACAGTAAATCCCCTCAAAGACGAGACAGAGCTCCGTGTTGAGGGTCAAGCAGTGGTCTGGTTTATTGAGGGCTATCTGCCCAGTATTTATGCAGGTCTCCCACCTGGTGGACACTCCCCTAGGGGACCAAATGAGAGACTGGGACACAAATGGTAAAATGACCAATCACAGACATACAGGGTTAAAACACTCCCACAGTACATTACAATCCCTCCCCTCTATCCTGGAGATAATTGGGAAGTAACTCCATTAACCACATGGTTACAATAAAACACTAAAATACATAATGTTACATTTGTCACATAAAATATATACATGTAACCCATCCCCAGATAGCTGGGATCTGAGCGTACAAATGTACCGAATAGCGCTCAGATCCTATGCACACAGTCCAATCGCCGTGGAGTCAAAGTGTTCACAAAGTCTGTTCTCCATACGAATAGACTCCACGGGATGGCTATCTGGGATATTGCTGTTCATACGGTTAAACTACCAAATGAACAGGCATCCGGTTAAATGACCGAATGCAGGAGCAAGGAGGCTGACGGCAAATAAGTGTCCTTTTCCAGTTCCATAGTTTGGGCACTGAACACCGCTGGCCGTTCGGGACTTTAAAATGGCCGCCGCCACGTGTTGGGCAAACGAACAAAGGCCACCCAGCATTCGTCAATTAAGCTGCGGTTAACTGCAGCTTCTGGGAGGTCAATTGCCAACACACTCCCAATACAGGTGGTCCAGTCATTCGGTAGATTGAATCTACCGAACACCGGGCAGAAAGGCATGAACAAGCCTTTTCTGCAGGAGAAAAGAAGGCTTTTAAACATGGGGCCATAGTCCAGAGGCAACAGGCGGGCAACCAGGCTTCTCCAATGCAATGTGGCGAGATTGGTCAGACATACATACACACAGACATACTGACACACAAAGACATACATACTGATAAACAGACATACAGACATATATACATACTGACATACACACATACATACAGACATACTGACATACATACACACATACATACTGACATACACAGACATACATGCTTACTGACATACACACAGACATACATGCTTACTGACATATATACACACAGACATACATGCATACTGACACACACACACACAGACATACATACTGACATACTTGCAGACAAATACATACACACACACTTCATTTATCAGCCACGCTCCTCTTACCTTTAAGTTGCAGGAGGGTGGCTGGGGATGATGGGAGTGGATACCTCTGGTGTCCTCCACTCTCTCTCTCCTCCGCTCTCCGCCCGCGCGGAGTGGGCTGGGAGGAAGTGACCGGCCATCACTTCCTCCCAGCAGCACTTGTGGTGTAGCCGCATTTTTTTTTAAAGGACCCGGTCGCGCAATTACCTGGCCGCAGCGCTGACCAGGCCACTGAAGATATAGGGCCCATCGGTTGGCCCTAAATGCTTGGGCCACCTGATGGGCCCCGGTGCAGATGCACCTGCGGCAGTTTCGCCGCTCCACGTGGGGCCCGGGCCCCCCAGGCCCGTGACAACCGTTATGGTTGTCACCCCTTGATGACGGCCCTGTGTGTAAATGTGTGTGTGTGTGTGTCTGTCAGTGAGTGTGTGTGTGTGTCTGTCAGTGAGTGTGTGTGTGTGCCTGTGTGTCTGTGTGTTAGTGTGATCCGTTTGGCACAGGGTGCGGACGACGCCATTTGGGGTATACCAGAGGCCGGACTCCGTAGTCGCATACTGCCAGTGGCAATTTGAGTGGAGACTGCTTGTTAACTAGAGAGGGGTGTTGGGATTTAGTAGAGGGGGGGACTGGGATTTAGTATATAGGGAGGGACTGGGATTTAGTAGAGGGGGGTGCTGTGGCTTAGTAGAGGGGGATGCTGTTTGTTTGTTTTTTATATACTGTACTTTTCAAAATAAACCTACGTTTCTTTGAAAATGTAAGTTGTTTTTTTTTAGGCCAACATAAACTTAAACCTTGTTTATTTGGCCCGTGCTAGACGTTGAGTTTGACATGCTTGACGTACATGGAGGTATCAGCAGAAGGTAGATAGGCTATGCTGTGCATTGGTGAAGGTTGCACACCCCTACAATTCAGTAGTGAGGACATAAAGCTACAGAAAAAAACATGTTCAACTGTGATGGAGGTACACTCTTCCCGCCCCAAATGTTACACATTTGACCTAACTGTGCTACAGTATATATTTAGCAGCTTCCTCTCTAACATTTTAGCACTTAAATACCTCTGCGAGGGTGCCTAGACAGCATCCTGGAACCAAAGCATGGCGTCTAAGTGGTGTAGATACTATTCATCAGAGAATAAACTTTATACAAGAGGACTGATGACACTGTCTTTTACAATGCTATCAAGTGTACTTTTACTTACTATTCTTATAGCAGGGAACTCATATTACACCTGGGGAGTTGTGGGTTTCACCTGTGTCGTTGGCGCAGGAAAAAGGTCTATGTGGCTCTTTGTGGCTCGTTTTAAGTTCATATGTTTAAAAATCAAGAAGGTCAAGGGCCCTGTTTTGAAGAATGACATTTATTAGTATCTTACTTTTTAGGGCATTACAACCTCAGTTTTTACAAAAAGTGCCATCTTGTCTAGGATTGCGTGAATTCGTGGGAAATCCCCACTGTGTCTTTGACATTTAAAAATCCAACAAACGTGCTCTGCCACTATTTTGTGGTTGAAAAAGTAAATCTTGTGATTGCTTAGCTGAGTAAGAAAAAAAACAACGCTCATTAAGAGAAGCTGTGGTTAGAAGGAAACAAAATAAATTACATTATTTAAAAAGAAAAACAAAATCACCTGGTTACACTACAGAATTAAACTCACACAGCATGACATTTACGTAACAATGAAGTATTCTTAGTTGAGAATAGTTCCTGTTACTGAAAATCAGGTGATGGGGAAAGGGTGTGGAGAGCTGTCTGGTTCAATAGGTTCAACTTATATCATGCAAGGAGATCTCTAACTGTTCCTGTAAATCATTCTAAAACATGACATCAAACACAGAGCACTCTTTGTAAGTTTATTTTAGTACTATGTGGGTCAATAATGTTTTGGCACACAACTGCGTTAACTCTTTGACTGTTGAATTCAATATTTGAGATTCTTCGTTTTGTACAAATGGAAAGGCAGACAATTAAAATGTGTACTTTTTCATTTAAGGCAGTTAATACAGTTTGGCCTGTAACAATCACCCAATGTGCAGTCGTTTATATTGTATGCAACAACAAAAAAGTACATTTGTAGAAATCACCAATGACTGAGCTTATACCAAGTAAATTTACATCAATGAACACAAACTAATTCTAAAAGAGATAGGAATAAACTCATTATATTTTATTTAGAAGAAAACAACGTTAAAGAATTACTAAAGGGGGCGGAGCCTGACTAGCGAACAGGGCAGTCGTGCTCTGAACCAGCTCCTGTGCACCGAGCATAAAAACGGTGGATAAATCAAGCTATACTGCGCTCACCCTTCTACAAGTGGGCCCACTGGACTTGGGAAACCGGCCCGAACCCAGGGACACCACACCCGATGTCCGGGGTAAATGGGCACCGCATCGGCAGACTAGGGCCTACAGACGGAGGCGGCGGAGAAAGGTGGCCACTTTCCCGCCAGACGCACACAGCTCACAGTAAGCTCGAAGCACAACCCCCCCCCCCATGGACCGGTGGGGGTCATCCCGGTCCCCCCTGGACAACGGGGGGCAGCTCAGCAAAGACTCACCGCAGAAATAAACCTGTAACGCAAAGGGGAAACGCGGCGGAAGAAGCTCCTAAAATGGCGGAGGTAGCGTGCTCCTTCAGCATCCTAGGCGAGCAGCCAGAGGTGGAGCGCCGACTAGACAGGGCTTTACAAGTATTCTGGGAGAAACTGGAAGCTTCACTGTCCCCAGTGATGGTGCCCGACACCCGGAAGCACACTCACCTAAGCAGAACCAAACTAAAGAAGGCACAGCCACCTCGGGCACCGATTCGCCCAGTGGGACGGAAGCTGTGAGAAATTAGCGGACAACAGGTAACTGGAGACCCGACAAGCGGCAAAAGGAGCAAGGCGACAGCCTCCTGGATCCGGCAAGTAAAGGTGCAGAAGCACACTAGTCGGTCATCCCACATTCCTGATGGTGGTGGTCCGTCACCGGGAGGAACGCACAGAAGATACGTAAGCACCGCACCAGACCCGACAGGCAGTAATCAAAGCAGCACAACCTTACCTGCTGCAGTCCACGCTGCACATCGAGTAGCTGAGCGGCTGCACACATTGTGGGTCAAAACCGGAGTGGACCCCCAACGAGGGGGCATCATTGAAAAGTCCTACCACAGCAAGAAGCGCTTACCCGGGGACTCTGTCCGCGCCCTAGAGGGCATAGGCTAAGCGGGTGTCCACTGGTCATTCCCTGGACCTCGGAGGCGATAACATGCAAGTCTCACACACGAGGGACGCTATCCTGCCGTTTTTACATTGTTAGAGTTCTTTTTATTTAGTTTTTTCATCTTGACTTTTGTAAGGGGATACAAGTATACTTCATTCATGTTAACGAATAGGCTATATCTCTCACTTAGTATATACACACATGAGCTGATGAATAGGATGTTATACTAAACATACAGATATAACACTTTTAATATGTCAAGCTATGTGCAAAGCCATTATATTACTGTTTATTAGATAGGAGCAGGAATTAAGCTACGTTTACCCACTGTTTATATTTCCTCTCAAAAAGCTAAAAAATCAGCGACTATTATATGCAAACATTTAAGAAAAGAACAGCTAAGGTTTAAGCAGATATAGTACCTTTAGTGTGTCAAGCTAGGTGCAAAACCATTAAAATACTGTTTGTTAGATAGAAACAGGAATTAAGCTACAATTACCCATTGTTTATTTTGACTCTTTAAAAACTAAAAATGCGCTGTCTATTCATATGCCACGTTATGTTTCAACCTTACTGCTTGTGACTGCTATTGTGGCTGAGTAAACCCATTGTCGTACCATGCACAACAGAAAATAAAGAATTAAAAAAATAATTAAATTACTAAAATTGTGAACATAAATGTAAAACAAATATTCAGTGCAGATCAGAGGGCTTATTTATTAAAAGCTATAAATTGCACATAATATTCAAAATTAGCATTTCACGTCTGTATAAAGTCAATATAAGTTGCGAACTGTAAGGAGTACTCCTCATGAAACATTACGGACCTTAAGGTGCCGTGACGTTTTGTGCAAATACAAAGTAGCTGCATTCCGCTCACGTCAAACTAGAATTAACTGAACAAGGATTAGCTCACTCTCTGTAAGATGAGAAAAGTGAGCTTAGAAGAAATGGAAGACACCCCCTTTCCATTTCCAACTAAGGACTACATTCTATTACAACAGATAAATAGTTAATTCCTCAAATTGTCACCTATGGAGAAGGATAAATTACTTAATCAGATACATGCTTATCTCTTATAACATAAATGAACTTCAAGTGAGGAAATGCAATTTATATTTATTTATACATAAAGCCAATTTGTTGTAACCCAAATATTTTGCACAGGATTCTTGGGTAACATCACAAATCACCAGTAAAGGTAAGACACAAAGAAAAAGCACGTTTACTTCTTATACATCTGATATAACCCCCCATGACACTTCAGAACTGTCAGTTACAAGTTAGCAATGACATGGTGATGTCACAAGGAATTTGGGATGAATAACTGGTTTGCAGTAAATGACATACTGCCTTCACTACAAAAATTGTGCATAGTTATTTACTTTCATCTTGTGTTTTAACCGATAAACCCTCCTTTAATTTCTTTATTTATGTCTAGAATTGTAGTTCTGAAAAAGAAGTTATTCAAGCAGAGATTAATTTCGCCCCTGAAACTGATTGCAAGTAAGAGAACTAAAAATGACAGCCCCATCTTCCCCCCTCTGAAACAGTAAGCATGCTGAATTAGAGACTTCATTCATTCATCATTCAGAGCGGGAGGACGACTGCCAACGTTCACATTATAATTCAATACAGAACATGGATTATGCAGAAGCTGTTATAGCACCTTAGTAACAGCCGATATGTAGCTGCATATGCTGTATATAGACATTATGCCCATACACAGACTTTAACTTACATTCCATTGGCATATTTATGAAGACAGATTTCTAGAACTAGCATCAGGTTCTTCAGTCACACTCAAAAGCAAAATATTTGACTATTTTAATGTCTCTATTTTTCTCACCCCTACCTACTTCAGCCTTTAAAGATAATGTGTAGAACCCTCATTATTTTCAGGTGCTCGAGATAATGGACTCAAAGTGCAATTGATATATTTAAGAGACACCACACACCAACTTCTCAGTTTAAGAACTTCTCAGTTTAAGAATTTATTAAACCAACATCTAACTGGTGGACCTGGCATGGTTCCAGCACTGTAATGTGTTTGTGAAGACTTGGATCCACCTGTTGGCTGAGGTAGAATAAGTTTCTTTACAGAGAAAATAGTTAATTTATCAATGAACAATTTAAAACAATAAAATTAAAGGGGCACTATAGTCACCCAAACAACTATAACTTAATGTAGTGGCTTTTTAATGTAAACACTGCTGTTTAAGAGATGCCACTAAGTATTGCTGAGCCTTTGTTTCAAATCTGAATAACCTACTATAGAAGAGAGCTATGAAAGCCAAAATGAGTCCAGACCGAACAGTGTTTACAGAAGTAGTATAACAAACTAGTAGGTACACCTTATGGTTAGACCAGGTGTTTAATCAATGGACGGGTGCATGACATTCATGCACAACACAGACATTGAAAACATGGAAAAATACTGGAAACCCTTAAAGGGACACTATAGTCACCCAGACCACTTCAGTGAAGTGGTCTGGGTGCCAGGTCCCTCAGGTTTTAACCCTTCAGATGCAATCATAGCAGTTTCAGAGAAACTGCTATGCTTACATTTGGGGTTAATCCAGCCTCTAGTGGCTGTCTTACTGACAGCCAGTAGAGGCACATCTGCAACGCTGGAGGCATATTATGCCTCCATCACGCAGAGCGTCCATAGGAAAGCATTGCGCATGCGGCTCCGCTGACGTCAGCAGAGGGAGCTGACGTCGGCGGGGGAGGAGAGGTCACCAGCACCAAGGGAGCCCGGCTCTGGAATAAGGGAAGCTGCTGAACGGGTTTTAACCCCTTTAGCACCAAGGGAGGGGGACCATGAGGGTGGGGGGACCCTCAGGGCACTACAGTGTCAGGAAAACCGCTTTGTTTTCCTGACACTATAGTGATCCTTTAAAAAAATTCTGAAAAAGGAACTAACACAATCAAACAAATGCGAGGTTATATCAATAAAACCTGCCTTTCCTGGCATATCGTAGAACTCTATCTCTTTTATCCACAAGGAAAGTCAAAAATAAGTATGCATTTTTGTCCTGGCTCAAGTGGTGAACTACAGTACACCCAAAAACAAATCCTGGAGTTAATATTGCAATGTGGGAAAGTTGCACAATTTTACTCTAAAAAAACTTCCATGCAAAATGTAACTGTTTGAATGGAAGTAGGCTGAGCAATGCCTTGAGTTAGGGCAGTACCTAAAGATAAAATTTGTGCTATATTTTCCAAATATATTCTATGCTGGAGGTTTGTTTTATGATAAGAACACAAAAATACACAGACACACAATAGATCCACTGAAAAAAAGGCAACAAAGTGGAGTATGGAACACAAAACAGAAAAACACCCGTCTCCAAGATCAGAAGGCCTTTTTGAAAGCTATGTACATAGGAATTTCATACCTGCACTAATGATGTTAACCTCAGAAGGTTGTCTCTTTAGACCCATAATCAGCACCTTCTTCAGGATCCACTCTGTTCAAAATTCCCGGCAGACCTGGAAGACATACATATGGGACTCAGTTCTTTTGTTGTGACTAGAATACTCCCAAATACTTGAAACTCTGCACCACTGTTCTGCATGTACTGAAAATATTGAGTACTTGGTAAATACGAAAAAAATATTTATGTGTGCCGACTTCCCTTGTTCCCAACTGATACGGGCACTGTTTTAGGGATGTGACATGGTGTCGCACAAACCAAAAGGGCTGGAGTTTTGTCCCTTCACCCCCATATGTTGACATTAAAGGGACACTGTAGTCACCAAAACAACTTTAGCTCAATGAAGCAATTTTAAATGTGTATAAATAATGCCTCTGTAATGTCACGCCTCAATTCTTTGCCATTTAGGAGTTAAATCACTTTGTTTACACAGCCCTTGACACACCTCCCTGCATGTGACTTACACAGCCTTCCTATACACTTCCTGTAAAGAGTCATCTAATGTTTACACTTCCTTTATTACAAATTATGTTTAATTTAGAATTTCTTATCTCCTTCTTTGCTAATAGCGTGCTAGACCCTGCATAAGCCTCCTGTATTTAATTATAGTTAAATTTACAGAGCAGGAGAGAAAAACTTTTGAAGTAAGTTACATTTAATTGAACATTAAACCATTTTGTTTTCATGCAGGCTGTGTCAGTCAGAGACAGGGCAGGTGTGAGTAGGGCTGTATAAACAGAAACAAAAGTGATTTAACTCCTAAATGGCAGAGAATTGAGCCGTGAGACTACAGGGGAATGATCTATACACCAACACTCCGCCATTAAACTAAAGCTGTCTTGGTGACTATAGTGTCCTTTTAAATTGAATAAACTACTCCAGATTTTATTCAGTACCCACAAGCAATTAATAAGGTAACAACATGAAAATGAATTGGTAGGGGGCAAACTGAGTAATGAGTTTCATAGTGACAGAATTGGAAGAGAAAAAAACAGTAATCAGGCCTACTATTTCTGTAAATGTATTTAATTGCAGCCAGGCAACCTGTAGTTTTTTGTGCTCTAGGTACATAGTTACATTGCTTGTATTGGGAATTATTCTTTGACACATCTGGTGATATGCCGGTAAAACAAATCAATTCAGCGATATGATTCAGCATGGTTTACACAGTGATAAGTGAATACATTTACAATTTCACAGCATACAATAAGGTGACCTAAAACTAGTTCCACAACTAAACACAGCTGCTGCATTTACTTGCAGGACGGGGCATATTTCTGGAAAGTGAACATTTGATTGTGCAGATACTTGAAGGAATGTCCATCATCTACGTAGAGCTCTCCCGAGGCTGAACCCTTTGACAAGAAGGAACATACCACGTTTATGTCTTTTGTGATGAACATATTTACATAATAGGCATACACAAAAAGTAATGTATACAATTTGATGTTTGAATAACACCTAAACAAAGAAATGTGTTATATATGTATTACACTGCAATGCAAAGCAGATCTCAGTCAGCTTCAAAGTGTCTGTTGAACCCTTCTTGGAAATATGTCAACAACCGTTTTTTCCGCCACAGTTACTTTTCCTTGGACAAATTTCAATGAAAGTTACATATTTTATGTATACTGTGAATTTTACAAGTACTGTAACTATGTGGAGTTATGAACAACATGAAGGCCCTGATACCCCTGCATACAGAGCTTCGGAATTTGCTGGCGCTATATAAATAATAAAATAATAATAAGATCACAAAGTGAGGAACACCTGAATTGTTTTTTTAATTAGGCCCAATAGAGAGTGAATATCTCCAAGTGTACATTATATTGTGGTGTATTCACAATGTAACACTGGTTTATGCACTTAAAGTAAGCACTGAGCACATAAAGGGAACCGAAAGTCACCAAAACAACTTTATCTAAATGACGCAGTTTTGGTGTATAGATCATGGTATAGTTGCACGGCTTAATTCTCTGGCCTTTAAAATTAAAGCAAAGTCCCATTTTTTTTCACATACAACAGGTAAGGGGAAACAATCCTTTCTATAAATACTCTTTGTACAGTATCTGTTGTTACAACCCTTAAAATGCAATATTTAATAGTGATGGTGCTTTCGACATGACCAATTTATGCAAACTTTAAACAATGGAAGCTGTGTGTATGTATGTGCCTGCGTGCCTGCGTGCGTACATATTTTCTAGAATTTGAAATGTTGGGAATTCAAAGTGAATTTCAAAGTTTATATATAAAAGACTATTAGACACTTTGACTGACAGACACACACTCTCAGATACACTGACATACACACACACTAACTGATTTGACACAATCTGACAGACATACACAATCACTGACAGACACGCACAATGACAAAGGCACACACACACACACACTGAGAGGCATACACAATCACTCAGACACACACATACACACATTCACTGACAGACAAACACACTCACTTACCGATACACACTGACAGACATACACAGACTCACTGACAAACAGACACACACACAGTCTCATTCATTCACAAATTCACTGACCCACACACATACACTCAAAGACACACACTGACAGATATACACACACAGACTCACTGACAGCCAGACACACACATTTCCCCCCAACACTCATATTTTTTTTTTTTTTTTAAATTTAAATCCACCCAGCCTCCCTACCTTTGTGAGATCTGAGCGGATTTTTTAACCTGGCCGGGCTGTTTGGGCAGGGGAGCAGGCAGGCGGCGGCCAGTTGAGGTCCAGGCAGGCGCACAGAGTGATGCCGGGAGCCGGAATATGACGTCACATCATTACTCCTGCCTGGAGCTCAGCTAGTTGCGTGCCCCGAGGCTAACAAGGCATTTGCCAGGGCATTTGGGGGTGGCATTTTTTGCCGCCCATGGAAAGTGCAAATGCCTTGTTTGCCTCGCGCCAATCACAGTGCTGCATGGAAGAGAGACTAATAAATATTTTACAATTAAAACATTTGTCCAAGCTAATATAAGCCGCTTAAAGGCTTCTGTTAACCTGGACAACTAGCTTCATTCATATTTTTTTTAACTTATTCACAACTTAATAGTAACCAGTTCTACAAGCAGAGTACAGCTTTCAAAAATGAGCTGAGAGCTGAAGGACATTTCCCCTAAACTACAAGTTGTGTTTAATATTTATCCCATATAACATTGGCACACCTATCCTAACAATGGGAAGACGTGGATTGGCTAAGAGGCAATTTCCTGGTCTCTGCAGAAACAACCAATGCGGAGGGTCTGTTTCAAACTTTTCGAAGTATGCTTTTTCTTCTTCTTACTTAATATTTGAATTAATCATTTGTGAATCCTATATTTTATATCAACAACAACAGGTTATGTATCTACACACATAGAACACTTTTATATATACACTCAAATACATATTACAAAATATACCAGTCAGGTTTCCCTGAATTGGGTTGTGAGACCTGATATATGTTTTAGATCACACTCTCATTTCTCATACCTGTGGTATTTTTTATTGAGCCTGCACTCTTTGACATTCCGTGAGTTTACAGGCTTAATGTAAAGTCTTTATTTATAATCCTCTGTTTGTACAGTCTACATAAAAATCAAAAGGTACACGTCTCTTTTACCTCCACAGAAGGAAATACCGGCCACACTGAGGGGGAGAAGCATATTTTCTTTCCCTCAGTGTGGAGAGATTTTAAGATTTAAGGCCGATTGGGAGATTTTAAGATACTCCCATTTGGCCTTGTTATCTCCAGTCCAAACTGCACCTGAAATATGTTAAATACTGTTTGGGGATTTCTTTCTCTACACACTGCAAAAAACAAAACACAAGAACTATATAAACACAGAGGACAAATGTTTTCTAAAAACAGAAAAATGGGCAGATACATAAAACAGAATTAAAAGGAAAAACAAAACAAACAGATGTGACATTTCATCTCCACCCAAACAACTAACATTTATTTTCTTTTACTCACGCAGAAATGTGAAAATGTTAGTCATATTCATCTGAAAATTCTCTATTTAGATAGAGTTTGATCAACGAACACAGAGGACATGATTCAGTAAAGAAACATTTATTGAATGATTTTTCAGTAAACCTGTGATAGAGAGGTGTTATGTCATCCCACCTTCCATGCACTCTATGAAACTTTCCCACAGAATCGCATAGTGCTAAGCACTCCAAGGATCTCCCTCTTGCACTTCTATAAAAGATTTGACACATACACAGCATAAAAATGAATTGATCAGCTCCATGACACTGTTACACACTCTGACACGGGTGAGACCCTTGTCTTGAAAATAACTGTCTGCTCTAAACAGTCCCCTTAAAGATTGCCGCTCTCATATACCAAACCCCCTTCCTGCTCTGTATTTAGGGAGGGATGCACAGTATAAGTCAGACCTATTCAAGCTTGATACATTCAATACAGTAACATGACTCAGAATGTATTGAAAGCTCAAGTCATTTTGCCTATTTTCTTTCCTCAATGTTCTGCCTGGGGGTGATTTTGCACAATCGCTCATCATCATACAGCGATCTATATCATTCTACTTTATTTTGCTGTGGTTTTGCCTAGGTGTGTAGCACACATTATAAGAGTGAGCAGTGATCACTCATTATAGTACCTTGTGGGTCAATGCAATTACAGTGTTTAGTGTGCCAGACAATTACACAGAAGATGCCGCAGGGGAGAGCTTAGGGTGTGGACTGCACAACCTGTGACAATGGGCAGGTAGCTGCACTAAGTCATGGATATTTCAATGGGCGCGTTTTCGCTTATAAGAAAGACATGTGAAAGATGTTTTGTTCAGTGTATCTTAAAATTCTTTGGACGGATTAAACCCTCCTTACCATAAGTCTAGCACAAAGTTTAAATTTACTTTTTTTTTTTTTTTTTTTAATTGCGCCATCATAGAGCAGTTGCCCATACATTGTGTGGATTATTAAAAATGTTTCAGCTTTTTTAAAAAAAAAGAGTATAAATTAACCAAAATGTTTTGTAGATACATTGGGATGCTAAAAAGAAAAATGCGGGGGCGGGGTCTGGCCGCCGACGGGATCAGACGTGTTCTGTCTGAGCTCACGCTCCAGGGCCCAAAAGTCAGAGCAAATTGGAGGATAACTGATGTCCACTGATGTCCACAAGGACCCCCAGTCACTGGGGAAAGCGGGGATGCCACATGCCACATGGGTCCCGGTCCGGCACCGACAGTAACCCGGCCGGGCTCGGAGTTCGTTGGGGCTTGAGCCGGGAGGGGACGGCCGCTCTCCTGGGTCTCCTGGCCGGCGGTTCGCGTCCGCCCCTCTCCCCCCCCTGGACCGGGTGGTCATTCCGGTCTGCAGAGGTACCAACCAGCACACCAACCTTGGCCCAATCAACCACCCTAGCAGGGAACATCACCCAGGCGACAGTACACAAGATGGCCGCCGAGCGCCGGCCATGTGCGCGAGCTGCCAGAGAGGTCGAGATGACGCTTGCTCAAAAGTGAGGAAAACAACACAGCCAAAGAGAAAAGCACCCACTATTATCCTACCAGCCTACTACAGGGCAGTAAAGCTTATGGACACTGCAAGTAGGATCATGTCGCACTCTCATGGAAGTGCCGGCAGCAGAACTTGCCTAGACAGCACTGACCACCCAAGGAGACATGACAGAGGGAGGCGGGGAGGTCTACAGGTCCATGGACCGGAAAATCTTGGGGACCCACTAATGCTGAACGCCCTGCTGCAGCCCATCGGTGGTACTGTGTGACAACTGGATAAAGCGGCTCCTGCTAACACACAGCAAGATCATCTCCAGCAATGTAAAGACTCTTTTGTTATTCTCAATGTCAGCGTTACCCCCCTTCCCCGATTACAGAACCTAGAGGTGTTAATAGCTCTGTGTCCCGATAACAACTCCTAGCTGGCAAACACCTTGACTAATTAGCTCTGTTGGCCAGACGTGTCCCCTAGCACTGTTTTGTCTACCCATGCTATTGTATGACAAGCATTTAACTCATTATGTTCACTTAGTCACCTGTGTAACATGCTAGGAGAGCAAGCCCAGGTGTACACATATATACCTGCATATAAACAGACTTACACCTGAACATCACTTATGATACATACTAAGCATGGACAGATCATATCTCACACTCACTGCGCCCACTAGCTAAACATACCTAATTAACCTGTTCATTAACGTTGAAACTCTGCTCTTCATGCGTCATTACTAGCCTAGTCTCGAACTACTTAAGCTTGTGAAATGTACTTTGTCAATCTATACCATATTCAAAATGTGCACTGTCCAATCACTCCCCACTGTATCTATTGTTGTTGAAATTAGCGAGTGGACTGCCGGTGGGGTACCACAAGCATAACTGTTCCAACTGTATGCACTACAAAAATAAAAATTATATAAAAAGAAAAAGAAAAATACACTTCTCTTGCACGCACAGTGGAATTCCGAGATAATCAGCTCAACTGAAGAAATCTTTCTTCTGAGTGGCTGCTGGCAATACATATTTTCTGCAACATTTTATTGACCTGTATTTGAGGTTTTAAATATTTAATTCTAACTTGACTATCTCCATGAT